TAGGAGGAGTATTCGAGGTGAGAAAGGGGGGGGGGGGGTTACCTTGGTTGTGATTGGCTAATGGTTAAACAAGACAAAAAATCGTTATGACATCATAAAGTGGTCAAAATCTGATCAGCTCATTTTCAGACAGGTTTTTATAGAAATGGATCAGGACAAAAAGAGAGAGAATCTTTGTTCCTGAAACTTTCAGAGTCTCTTTCCACAGAGGGGACACATGTTGATGAAGAAGAGGGGACACATGTTGATGTAGAAGAGACATGAAGAAGAGGGGACACATGTTGATGTAGAAGAGACATGAAGAAGAGGGGACACATGGTGATGTAGAAGAGACATGAAGAAGTGGATTTTGCATAACAGGTGACCTTTAAAGTCCAGTCTCTATTGTCTCACTGCTCACTACATATTTGTCTTTCTCTGCAGTCAGAGCTGACCTGTCCGTTATTACTGCAGCCTGCTGCTTTTTAGATTCCCCTCCAGGTTCACAGACATGTAAACTGCAGACGCTGTGACCCACATGAGGTCAGAGCGGAGTAGACGAGGCGACTGAAACCCAACACTGGCTGTAAACCTCCCTGACTGTAAACAAACATCCGCAGATTCATTATCCACTGACAGGCCGACCAGAATCTGCACTTTAGCAGCAGTTAATACATGGCTGAGTGGAATATATTTAATTCTGATTGGACAATTTGGACATTCCAGAGGTCTGTAAATGTTTCAATACATGAAGTCTAAACTGTCACAAGCAAAGAAACGAAAAACAGTGCAAGGGAAGGAAAGAAGTTTAAAGACAGAGCGCTGGACGAAATCAACAGAAGACAGACAGGAAGTAAACACTAAAGGGAAGAGCAGAAGTAGACAGACAAGAAGTAAACACTAAAGGGAAGGGCAGAAGTAGACAGACAGGAAGTAAACACTAACGGGAACAGCAAAAGAGAGAAGGGTCTAGCTGCGGCCGCGGAAAGTACAGTACACTGCACTACACTACACTACACGACCACCTGACACGACACTACGGTGGCTGAGAAGGGTCTAGTTGCGACGAGAAGCCCCTCACTGTAGTGCGCAGTGCCTCAATGAGCTCGATGTGGGAGGGAGCTCAACGTGGGCGGAGCTTCACAGATGACACGTTGCATCCTGTTTCCCGGGTAGCAGTTCTCTTCCCTCTTCAATCTAACCCTTCCCTTCCCCCCATCCTAACCACTCCCTAACTTTTTACCTAATCCTAATCTTCCTTCCTCCCTCCCAATCCTAAACCCCAAAACCTCTCCTCCTGTCGTGTAGTGTCTTCAATTCGCTTTTAACGGTAGTGCCTCTCAGCCACCTTAGTGTCGTGTCAGGTGGGCGTGTCGTGTAGTGTCATGTAGTGTCCGCGGCTGCAGCTAGACCATATTGGCAAAAGAAGACAGACAGGAAGTAAACACTAACAGGAACAGCAGAAGACAGACAGACAGGAAGTAAACACTAAAGGGAACAGCAGAAGAAGACAGACAGGAAGTAAACACTAATGGGAACAGCAAAAGAAGACAGACAGGAAGTAAACACTAAAGGGAACAGCAGAAGAAGACAGACAGGAAGTAAACACTAAAGGGAACAGCAGAAGAAGACAGACAGGAAGTAAACACTAAAGGGAACAGCAGAAGAAGTCAGACAGGAAGTAAACACTAACAGGAATAGCAGAAGAAGACAGACAGGAAGTAAACACTAACAGGAATAGCAGAAGAAGACAGACAGGAAGTAAACACTAAAGGGAACACAGTATGGGCTCTGCAGTGTTTAAAGACTGGTTAATGGTAAAGAAAATGTGAACAGATTTGGACATTAAAAGAAAACCTCGATAAATTCTGCCGGCATTTTAAGTTACGTTGCTGTCGTTGCAGTTTAGCCTGTGGAATTTACAACTTCTTCTCAGCAGTAGCAAAACGATCAGTTTAAATCCAGGATGAAGACTTTTATTTTTGCCGCTGCTTTCAATTTAACTATCCATATCTTACACTGCACTGCAACTATTATTCATGTGTTTTTATTTTATTATCTTTGCTCTTTAATGACTGTTTTTTAAATGCAATTTTCTTAAAGTCTATCATTTTTGTAAAGCACTTTGAATTGCCTTGTGTTGAAAGGTGCTATATAAATAAACTCGCCTTGCCTAAATCAATAAAATCACATTAAATCCATATTGTACATGGTGTTAGAGCGAGTACAGCAGCCCTACCGGAGATGACGGAGTCGTTCCAGCTGTCCTGGTCGTTCAGGTATTCATCGAGATGCCAGTTCTCCTTGTTCTCGTCCGACTCTTTCTTCCCGTCCGTCTCTCGGTTCGATTCCCGCTCCGTGCTGGACGTCCGGGACAGACGTCCGTCCATCCGGCGCTTCAGAGACGAGCGAGAGTCCTTCGTCTGGAAACTGAGGTCAAACATCACAAGGACAAGTCTGTAAGTTATAGCTTTATAACACCATGGCCAGCGGGAAGTCTCTATTCTGATTGGCTGGAAGGTGTGGATTCACTTTAAGAATCTAAAACCTATACCCAGGCACCTGTGATGTACCGGTATGTTTGTAGGCTGTCCTCGACTAAATCACAATACTTTATTTATACCGGGTTTTTGGACTGTTGCACCATTTCAGAATAAATAAATACATATGTATATACAGAGATGAGCAAGCGTCCTTCGTCTGGAAACCTGGAGTCACACATTTATTTATTTTTTTTTTTTTTTATTCCACACATGGCAGTTATTTTAAAACAAAACATGTATACTTATACTGTTTTTATTTGTTATAGCGCATGGTGGAAAGGAGCAGCCCCTTCTTACAAATAGGGTTAACCCCAACCAACAAACAAACAAACAAAAGGGGTAAATAATAAATTCAAAATTAAATAAACAGCAGTAGGAGTGGAAGCAGGGGCACTGTGATGGGTTAGGGGTCAAAGGCCATGGTGAACAGCTGAGTTTTTAAGTCACAATGGTGCTCTAGGGGGAGATTCAGGTGATAAGGGGGGGGGGTTACCTTGGTTGGTGCAGAAAAGACATGAAAAAGTGGATTTTGCATAATAGGTGACCTTTAAAGCATATGTTAAATAAGTCTGTATATCTCCACACTGACCTGTCCTGCCTGTGTTTGGTGGCGAGCGCTCGGTGCAGCTCCTCGATGATGCAGCTGGGGGGCAGCGGGGGGTGCAGCGACCCCAGGTGGGGGGACCCGGTGGGGGTGGACATCCGGCCTCTCAGCAGGGAGCCGTGGGGATCTTTGGGGAGCGTGAAGTTCCTGGGTAGGGTGGCCGGGGACTTCTTCACCGGCACTGAAGGGGCACCTGGGGATGAGAGGCAAGAGAGTGAGACACTGAGGGGGATGGGGGCGGGGGTTACATTACATTACAGTTAGCTGACTCTAATGGCGCTTTTCCACTACAGGACCTAGCACGGCTTAGTACGGTATGGTTAGGCCTTGGTAGGCCAGGCTCACTTTATGCTGCGTTTCCATTACAGTTTAGTTACTGTGGTAGTAACTATAGTAACGCAGTGTAGGCGGGGCGATCGGCTGTTTGGCGGGTGGAGCGACGCTGCGTAAAACTGCTGTGACGTCATCTTCAATGCGAACCACAAAACCAAAACATCAGCCGTTAGCTGTTAGCACTCAGAGCTCACAGCTCCTCATATCTGTT